CACCGTTTCCCAAGGGTGGGTATGAACTCTACAGTCCACAGGGGAGCAGGAGAGAGAACAAGGAAAGGAGTTTCCAGTTCATTTATAGCACTTCCTTGACGTAGAGGAAGGGGAAAGAAAGAATTTGGATGAATTCCCTGAGCTAAAAATGGAAAAAGAAAGCAGTGTATAGGTTAGGATGTTTCTTTCCATGTTTTTCTCACCGTGAATACAACTAGCTTTCAGTCCTCCATAATTGGGAATAGAAGTGAAATGGATCTAGGAGCGTCACAGATACTCACCAAAGCTCATTTTTATCCATTCGCTTCAACCTCTTCCCGCCACAATTTTTTTATCCCAGTTCCTGACAAGGGAGAAAAACGAGCTAACTGAAGCATATGTGATGTTGCTGGTAAGACTTGTCCTCTAGATAAAGTGTGAAGGCACAGTGAGGTGGCTACAGTGTCAGAGTGACACACAAAACACTAGAACTGAGGCAAGTTGCCGCAAAGGCTTTGTCGGTGTGCAGGAGATTTCTGTAGACAGTGGGGGTTGGAAAGACTCCTAAAATGTCAGAGCTGAACAATATAATCCAATTCAGTTTTGAGTCACTTTAAAACAAATAAACAAAACTTGTCATCAAGTCCATTCTGACTTAGGGCAACCCCATATGTGTCCGAGTAGAACTGAGCTCCACAGGGTTTTCAGTGACTTGATTTTTCAGAAGTGGATTGCCAGGCCTTTCTTCTGAGGTACCTCTGGGTAGACTCCAACCTCCAGTTAATTAGCAGCTGACTGGATTCACATTTTCACCACCTAAGTGTATTTATAGAAGGGGAAACTACAGTTCTGAGAGATTAGGGTCTTCCAACTAGTTAGTAGTAAAACCGAGACTAGAAGCTGACCCTGATCTTCATTTGCAATCTGGGGCTCCTTGCACTATACATCTCAGTTTCTGTTGTCTGGAACATGCCATTCACCTTCAGCTGATGTTTACTGGAGATCTGCAAGCCACAGGCACTGCACTCCGTGCATTCATCTGTTGCAAATAAGCAGTTGCACCGCTAACCGTAAAGTCAGAGTTCGAATCTACCAAGCTGCTCTAAAGGAGACAGATGAGGTTTCTGCTCCTGTAATGGTTTATAGCTGTAGAAACCAGACACAGGGTCAAAGAGTCAGAACTGACTTGAAGTAATGCAACCACCACTAGCATTCCTGTTTGGTGAATGAGGATACTGAGATTCAGAGAGGCTAAGTAGTGAATTAGGCACATGTTTTAGCCTAAAGACATGCTCAAAGGCAGCACAGTAAAATTAGGAGCTGAAGTCCAAATTCAGGTGTAGGAGTTCAGTTTTATTTATACTACCCTATGGTGTGGCGCTGTGGGCTAATGCGTCAGATTGCAAAGTTGTTTGAACTGCAAGGTCGGTGGTTCAAGCTCACCAGTTGCTCCTTGGAAACCCTATAGAGGGTCTCTATGGGTCAGAACCAACTCTACAGCACTTAACAACAACAACAACATTATGCCTTCAGAGTACTGGTATGGCGCTGTAGGATAAGCACTGACTGAACTGCTAACCGAAAGGTCAGTTGTTCAAACCCACTAGCTGCTTCTCAGAAACCGTATACAGGGTCACTATGAGTTGGAACTGACTCGACAGAACTTAACAACAGCATTATGCCTTGGTGGCACATGGGTTAGACATTGGGCTGCTAACCATAAGTTTGGTGGTTCAAACCCACCAACAGCTCTGAAACATGCTCCCATCAAGAGATACAGTTCCAGAAACGCTAGATAGGGTTGCAATTAGTTGGAATCTACTGAATGACAGAAGGTTTGATTGGGTTTAGAGCTTTTTGCAGTAATTTCTTTCATTAAATTACTTTTCCTGGTAGATTATATTTATTTATTTTGGGTTCATTGTATTTTGGGAATGAATAGCCCCACATGCACATTTTTTTTACCAACAACATTCTATGTTTTTAGCCTCAATCTGTGTTTTGCCACTTGGATTCAGTTATTTCCTCTCAATATTGGCTTCCCAGGTCTCAGAAAGGATGATCACCAATGAGAGGCATTTCATGTCTGAAGTCCAGTGTATCCTGGTCTCTGTTGCTGTAATTCATGTTGTTGTTATTAAGTGTCGCTGAGTCAGTTCTGCCTCATAGCAACCCTGTATAGGGTTTTTGAGGAATGACTGGTGAGTTTGAACCACCGACCTTGCAATTAAAAGAGACTCTGCAGATCAGAGCTTATCCTACAGCGTCACAGATGTTCGGGTTGCACAAGACCTTAGATAGCCCTCCTCAGGCCACCATCACAGAATATCACAATTTGTAAGAAGAGAAGTTTATTATTATAGTTCTGCAAGCTAGTGGCTTGAATCAGGGTGTTGGTGGGGGCCATGTTCTCTTGAAAGGCTTTAAGGAAAAATGTTTGTTTTTTTAAGTCTCTTTCAGCTTCTGGTGGCCCCAGGCCTTCCTTGCAGTATAGATATTCATCTTCACATAGCTGACTTTCCTTTTGCCTGTTTCTGCCTCTCCTTTTTTATAAGACATCATTCAGATTACATTGAGACCCAGCCTTCTCCAGCATGAGTCATACTATCTTAACTGATACCATCTTCAGACTTCTTATAAAGAAAGTCGCATTCACAGATAATGGGAATTAGGACTTCAGTGTATATTTTCGGAACAGAATTCAATTGGTAACATTAGTTTAATCCCTTCTCTTTGCAGATTAAAAAACAAAACAAAACAAATTGGATTCGGACAAAGTGATTTTTTCCAAGGTCACACAGCTGACCAGCAGCATGGTTGGGGACCTGAATCAGAGCCTCTTTTCAAATCTACAAGTCCTGATCGGAATGGAGTACCCAGAACACTAAACTGTAGTGATCTGCTCAGTTAGGAAGCCCAGGCTTACCTTGAATACCGGGGCCTCTGCCTTTGAAGGGAGGTATCCCTCAAGCTCTCAGAGATGGCCTGTGGGAGTAGAGAAGCCATGAAAACCAAGCCTACTGTTGTTGCATCAACTCCAATGCATGCTGACCCCATGTAACACGAGTAGAACTGCTCTATAGCATTTTCTTGGCTGCAATCTTTACAAAAGCAGATTGCCTGGTCTTTCTGCTGTGGCGCTGCTTTGTAGTTGTTGTTGCTAAGTACTGTCAAGTAGATTCTGATTCATAGCGACCCTGTGTAGGATTCTCGAGAATTGTCTGGTGTGTTTGAACTGCTGCCCTTATAGTTAGCAGTCCAATGCTTGTCTTATAACACCAGGACTCCTTTCTGTTAGTGTTATTGTTGTTAAGTGCCACTGAGTTGGTTCTGACTCATAGCGACCTTGTATAGGATTTCCCAGAAGCTGGTGTGTTTGAACTTCTGACCTTGCCATTAGCAGTTCAGTGTTTATCCTACAATGCCACACCAGAACTCCCTTTCTGTTAGTTGTTGTTGTTGTTGTTGTTAAGTGCCATCAAGTCGGTTTCAATTCACAGCAACCCTGTGTAAGGTTTCCAATAAGTGCCTGGTGGGTTTGAACCACCAACCTTGTGGTTAGCAGTTTAATACTTATCCTGCAATGTCACACCTGCACAAAAGTATTGGACTGCTAGTTAGCAGTTGAGCACAAACTTATTTTCTTATCCAGAGACCAGGAAGAGGTTCCTATTAATTAGCTGGAAGTCCTGCAAGGGACAATGTTGTTGAGCGAGACATGGGAAATGACCACTAGGAGACCAGCTGCTGGCTTGTAGACTGGATATGCCTGAGGCAGCTAGCATGGGAGAGAGCTAGTCTCAGGGGCCGTTGTTAGCCTAGAGCCCCAAGCAGCTGCGAATCATACGGTTCTTCATGAAACACCAACTGCCTGTGAAAGAACTTTCTCCAAGCAGCATGTAAGTATCTGGACAAGAACACCAACAAATTCATAATAATTTATTGCAAATCACTCAGATTTTACACATTATTAATGGCAAAATAACACTGTTAAACACCTGCTGGATGAAGAACTTCATTATGACAAATTCCTATTAGCATCATTTCTTTTTTCAAAAGTTTAAATTTAAATTTTTAATCTTCACTCTTTCTTGAAAAGATCTATCTTTAAAGTGCTCCAATAACACTACAAGACCTTTCCTTCTGACTTAACATCTAACACAAAGGACACAGTGTCCTATTAATTTGAACATGCTCTTTACAAGGCAACTTAACACACAATTTTTTTTTAAATCCAGAAGCTACATAATGATCACTTTATATTTTGCTGTAAAATCGATGAAGGCTGCATGCAAGTAAAACATTAGTAGACACTGAGTTCTAGATAACTGTTGGTTATTAAGATCTGATGGCCTCGTGTGGAAAATTAATATGCTTATTTAGCAGACATAGCTAAAGTACATGCATCAGTGGCTAGGATCAATTAGAATATAAATTAGGTGTCTAAACATTTAAATGAGAGCCTAATTTGAGCTTAATTCAATGTCTGCATGTCTGAGTTATACACCTTTAAAATGACAATAGCAAAGAGAACAAAATCAAACACCCACACAGGCATTGATTTATAGGACCACTGGGCGTACAGCTTGAAACACAAACTAGCTGGGCAGTGATCGAACCTTTTCTGAAGCAAAGACAGTGGAGCATTAACAAGCTGTAAACAGGGCAAAAAATAAGAGCCATTTCCTGTATTCTCATTTGGAAGAGTTGTCAATTCTCTCACAGAAAATCAAACAAAACACAGGTAGGTACAATAATCACAGAACAAAACATTCTTCTGTCTTCTACCCTGCCTCTCTGCTCCTTCAGATACTGTGTTTAAAAGCAATGCTGAGTTAACTGGTCAAAAACCAAAACAAATGCTCTTCAGAATCATACTGAAAGAATATTAAATTCCTTCATCCTGCCAGGGTTAACACCATGTATGAACACATGACAGCATATGTTTGACATATTGTAGTTACAGCGATTAAACCACATGTCCATATGCTGTTAAATCATACAGTTGCATTGATTTTTAAAAATGTCTTTCACTGATAGTTGTATTTAGACATTACTTTGAGATAAACAAAAAACTCTCAAACCACATAGATTCCATCCACCCTCAAGCTTCTCCCACAAATCCAATGGACAAAAAAAACACAGTAACAAAAGCAATGAACACAGGAGTCAACAGCAGACATGTTGGGCGGACAGCTGCAGGCTCAGCTACTGCCATCTCCAGTCCTTGCCTTGCGGGCCTTGATTATCGACTGGGTTGCCCGTTTTCGGTCAGTGGCCAGCCCCAGCCAGCACATGATGTCAATGAACCAGGTGGTCGGGTTGAAATTTAAGCCAAATTCACTTGCAGAGTAGTCATAGGGAAATGTGTGATGGTAATTGTGGAAACCTTCACCTGGAAAACAAAGCGGTCATTTAAATAACTCAATCACTCCTTCTCCAAACAATTTTTTAAATCACCCATTTATTGAAAGTCTATCATGTGTACTTACTGATGAAGATCAAAGAATACAGCCTTCAGTATTTTTAACCCAGTGTTAAGAAAACCAAAGCCCTCACAACTGGACCAGTAAACAAGATCATGATGTTGTTAAGTGCCATCGAGTCGATTCCAACCCATAGCAACCCTGTATAGGGTTTCCAAGGAGCAGCTGGTGAGCTTGAACCACTGATCTTGCAGCTCAAACGACTTTGCGGTGTGACGCACTAGCCCAGAGCGCCACACCAGGACTCCTAAAATCATGACAGATGGAGAAAAAAATCGCAATTGTCAAGGATTTCATTGTGCTTGGATCTACAATCAACGTTCATAGAAGCAGCAGTCAAGAAATCAGGCAATAGGCAAATATGCATTGGGCAAATCTGCTGCCAGTAGATCTCTTTTAAGTGTTCAAAAGCAAAGATGTCACTTTGAGGACTAAGTTGTGCCTGACCCAATCAATGGTATTTTCAATCAGCTCATATGCATGTGAAAGTTGGGCCATAAATATGGAAGACTAGAGTTTAAATTATGGTGTTGGTGAAGAATATTGGAAGTATTATGGTTTGCCAGAAGAACAAACATACCTATCTAGGAAAAAACACAGCCAGGATGCTCCTCCTTGAAAGGAAGAAAGAATGTTATGACTTCATCTTGCATACTTTGGATATGTCTTTAGAAGGGATCAGTCCCTGGAGAAGGGCATCATGCTTGGTAAAGTGGAGGGTCAATGAAAAAGATGAAGACCCTCAAGTAGATGGACTAACACAGTGGCTGCAACAGTGCACTCAGACATTGTGGGGATGGTGCAGGACCAGGAAGTGTGCCATCTTGTTGTTATAAGGTCACTATGAGTCAGAACTGACTTGATGGCACCGAATCACAACTACAGTAACAGCAGAAATGCATTCCTAGTTATTTTAATAACTTATAGATTTTTTTCCCCCCATCAACAATGTCATGTGCAAGACACTGTGTCAGGCTCTGTGGGAGACTCAGCTGAGCTAAAGATTTGATTCATATTCTCAGGAAGCATTTACTTAGTGAGCTGTTATTACTGTTGGCTGCTATTGGTGACCCCTGACTAATGGTGACCCCCACGTACAATGGAATGAAGTGCTGCCAGGTTGTATGCCATCCTCATGACCAATTGTGGTTCCAACTGTTGTGATCATAGGGTTTTCATTGCTTTTCATCCACAGGCCTTTCCTCCTAATCTGTCTTTGTCTGGAAGCTCTGCTGAAACGTTTTTAGCATCACGGCAACACTCAAGCCTCCACTGACAGAGGCTGGAAGTTGGGTATTGGCTGAAAACTGAAGCCCCGTCTTCCACATGGAAGGCGAGAATTCTACCACTGAACACCGATGCTCACTTAGAGGGCTAACCAAGCTAAACAGACAACAGAAACAGAAAGCCAGTAATAAAGTTATCAACATAAAGTCACAAGCTTTTATTTGCCCATATAAATTGTAGAAATGTTACCATGACTTTAGAGCTGTACTTAAGTTAAATGTTAAATGGCCAATAACAGATGATCATATTGATGTATGTTTGTAAAAGCAAATCATCACACAATGGCCCTCAGACACCCTTCAAACCTGGAGCTGAAACCACTTCTGGAGATCAAGCTTTGAGTGAAACAACAGACAGAGCTATAAAATGAACACCACCCATGAGGAACTTGCTCTTTAGAATGATCATCCACTTGAGAACAAAAGTCCTGGCTTAAAAACATAGTTCAGAAGGCAGGAAGGGGCAGGAAAGATGAGTGAATGGAAACAGGAAACCCAGGACGGAAGTGGGAACAATATGTTACATTGAGGGCATTGTAACCAATAGCCACGAAACAAAATGTGCATAAAATTGTTGAATGGGACACTAATTTGATCTATAAACTTTCACCCAAACCACATAGAAATGTTCAGAAAAATTAAAGAGAAAAGAAAGGAAGTCCTCCCTGTGGGCTGGAGCAAAGAAAGGAAAACTTCTTGGGAGAGTTTGGAAAAGATAAATGAGAATCATTCAGATAGGTAAGTAAATTTTAAAGTTTGCTTAGTTAAGTTTCTGAAATTGACCTGTCTGTTACTCCGCAACTCCCAGTGAATCATTTTTCCTGGTTACTTCATCACCTCCCCTTTTGGTGTTTTTATGAGAGGCCTTACAGCTTTTCTCATTTGATTTATTTATTTATTTATTTATTTTTTTTTAAAAAGACATTTATTCAGCGTCATGATCAGACTATTACATTTAGCAATCAACAGCATGGGTGCGGAAAAAAAAAAATCTACATTAAAACCCTTTGTTGGAATGCTTTACACTTTCCACAGAACAGAAACTAAAATAACCTGTTATACAATTAGTCACAAATACAGTCCTCGAGTTTTTTTTGTTTTGTTTTGTTTTTTGCCCATACACATGAGTATTGTCTAAAACATGTCTTCTTTGTAGCAGCTAGGCCCTGCCACCACTGTGCTTGGCTGAGTTCACAAATCTGTTGTAACCTGTAGCTTCCCTGTCACTTCTCTGGCTCTCCTCTCCTGCTAAGCTTTGTTTCCTGGCTATCATTAAAACCTTCTGCCACTCCCATAGCTACTGCTGCTGCTTGAACCGCCATAGCCACCTTGGTTTCGTGGTTTGGCAAAATATTGACCTCCACCACCATAAGGGCCAGAGCTTCTACCTCCAAAATTTCCTCCCTTCATGGGTCCAAAATTTGAAGACTGATTATTGTAATTGCCAAAATCATTATAGCTTCCACCGCCTCCAAAATTGCTTCCATCATTACCAAATCCATTATAACCATCCCCACTGCCTCCATATCCACCACCACCTCGGCTGCCACCAAAGCCACCTCGTCCGCTGAAGTTTCCTCCACGACCAAAGTTGTCATTCCCACCAAAACCACCTCCACGGCCACCACCGAAGTTTCCAGAACCACTTCGACCTCTTTGACTGGAGGAGGCACTGGCCATCTCTTGCTTTGACAGGGCTTTCCTTACTTCACAATTGTGGCCATTCACAGTATGGTACTTCTGGATAACAATCTTATCTACAGAGTCATGGTCATCAAAGGTTACAAATGCAAAGCCCCTCTTCTTGCCACTGCCTCGGTCTGTCATGATTTCAATCACTTCAATCTTTCCATACTGCTCAAAATAATCTCTTAGGTGATGCTCTTCGGTGTCTTCTTTAATGCCACCAACAAAAATCTTTTTCACAGTTAAGTGGGCACCTGGTCTTTGAGAGTCTTCTCTTGAAACAGCCCTCTTTGGTTCCACCACTCTTCCATCCACCTTGTGTGGCCTTGCATTCATGGCTGCATCCACCTCCTCCACAGTAGAATAAGTGACAAACCCAAAGCCTCTGGAGCGCTTGGTGTTTGGATCTCTCATCACCACACAGTCCGTGAGCGTCCCCCATTGCTCAAAATGGCTCCTCAGGCTCTCATCTGTTGTTTCAAAGCTCAAACCTCCGATGAAGAGTTTCCGCAGCTGTTCGGGCTCTTTAGGAGACTCTGACTTAGACATGACGGCGGTGAGGGGGAGAAAAAAAAAAAAAAGACGATGCTTCCTCCGCGGTGTCCACGAGCAGAAAGGAGTAGGCTAACGAACGTATCTCTGATTTATTTTTATTAACAGTTTATATTGAGATAAAATCCCCATATCATAAACTTCATTTATTCAGAGTATATAATTAAATGGCTTTTAGTATATTCATACAGTTGTACAACCATCAGTGTAATCAATTTTATAAAATTTTTCATAATCCCCAAAGCAAAATCCCACACCTCTTAGCTGTCACTCTAGAGCGTGCGCCTGTCCCAACAGGCAACCAGCAATCATCTAACATAACTTTCTGTCTCTAGTTTTAAATCTATAGATTTGCCTACTCTGGATATTTCATAAAATGGAACTATGCATGTGGTACTTTTTGATTGTTTTTTTTCACTTGACATGTTTTCAAGAATCATCTATGGTGTAATATGTACTAGATCGTCTTTCCTTTTATGGTTGAATAATATTCCATTATGTTAGTATGTTGTTGTTGTCAGGAGCCATCGAGTCAGAACCAACTCATAGCGACTCCATGCACAGCAGAATGAAACAATGTCCAATCCTGGGCCAACCTCAATACCTCAGACACATGACGCCATCAATGATGCCACCTGGCTGATGCATCTCGTTAGGGGTCTTCCTCTTGTTCTCTGACCCTCCACCTTACCCAGCATGACATCCTTCTCCAGTGACTGTTCCCTTCAGAAATATGTCCAAAGTATGAGAGATGAAGCTTAGCCATCTTGGCATCCAAGGAGCACTCTGGCTGCACTTCTTCCAAAACAGATCTATTGGTTCTTTTGGCAGTCCATGGCACTTTCAGTATTCTCCTCCAACACCACAACTCAAAGGCATCAATTCTTCTACGATCTTCCTTATTCACTGTCCAGCTTTCGCATCCATATGAGGCTATTAAAAACACCATGGCTTGGGTCAGGCTCACCTTAGTCCTCAAGCTGACATCTTTGCTCTTCAATACTTTAAAAAGTTCCTGTGCAGCAGATTTGCCCAATGTAATACGTCGTCTTATCTCTTGACTGCTGCTTCCGCGAGTGTTGATAGTTGACCCAAGAAGAATGAAGTATGTTATGTTAGTATATCACAGTATTTATTCATTTATCAGTTATGGAATTTTGGGTTGCTTCAACTTTATTTTGGCTGTTATGAATCATACTGCTAAAAACAACATGGCTCCCTTCACTACTGTTGTTGTTGTTAAGTGCCGTCGAATCAGTTCTGACCCACAGCAACCCTGTATAGGGCTTTTGAGAAGTGGCTGGTGGTTCAAACTAGCCAGGACTCCATATGTATATGTATATGTTGTTGTGGCCGTCGAGTCGGTTATGACTCATAGTGACTCTGTATAGGGGTTCCCAGGAGTGACTGGTGAGCTTGAGCTGCTGACCTTGCAATTCAGCGAATTAGCCTGCAGTGCCACACCAGGACTCCCCCTTCATAGGAAATCAATAGGAGAGGCCAAGGACATTCTCCTTCTCTTTTTCAAGGCACTATTCTACCAGTTTATCCCATTATCCCACAGCTAAATCTGGTCTCTATCCTACCTTGTATTTCAGGCAACCTTAGTGGACAAGGCCTTCAGGACCCCTGGAGCAGTTATAAATGGATGCTCCTAATAGAGTTCTGGTAGCCTAGTGGTTACGAATCGGGCTGCGAACCTTAAGGTCAGCGGTTCGAAACTACCAGCCGCTCCGCGGGAGAAAGATGAGGCTTTCTACTCCCGTAAGGATTTACACCCTCGGAAACCCTGTACAGGGTCGCTATGGGTCGGAACCGACTCGACGGCACTTAACAACAACAACAATAGAGTTGTGGCAGAAACTCATCACTGAGCGACAGCAATGACTTAATAGTAGAAATTGCCCTTTCTGGGTTTAATCTCTGTGCTTAAAGTTTAGGGTATTAAGAAGCCTGGGTTACTTCCAGAAAGCAACAAAGAATATTTATTTCTCGCTTGCTCTGTGCCAAGCACAGCTGTAAATACTTTAGAATCGGTTACTGTTGAGTCCGTTTCACCTCATGACAACCCCATGTGTGCAGAGGAGATCTGTACTTTACAAGGTTTTCAAAGTTTTAGAAGCAGATCACTAGGCCTTACTTTTGAGGGAGCTCTGTCTGGGTTCAAACAGTCACTCTAATTGCTTTAACAGGTACTAACTTCTACAATCCTCACACCTGAGTTAGTTACTAGCGTTATCCCCACTTTCCAAATGCCAGAGTAAGACCACAGCAGGGATAAGTAACTTGCCCAAGACTGTAATGCTAGTAATGAAAGCAACATTATTGAAGGCTTATTTTGCATGAAGCACTGATGCAAACACTACGTACTAATCCTCCAAAGACTCCAGGAGGAGGTAAATACTGTTATCCCCACTTTATAGATGAAGACATGGAGCTCTGAGAAGCCAAATAACTTGCCCAAAGGTAAGTGGAGAAAACAAGATTCAATCAAACCAGTTGTTCTTAACCATTTTGCGTTATCTCATGACACCAAAGTCTCGTGTCTTCCCATATCTCTGCCTGAAAGTCTTATTCTTCTAAGGTCTGCCAAATGATCACCATTGCAGGCTGAGAGAAAAGTCAACTTCTGCATCTTCTTTAGGAAAATTTTTACGTTAAAAATACCATGACAACTCCGTGTGTGTCAGAGTAGAACGGGGCTTCATAGAGTTTTCAGTGATTGATTTTTCAGAAGCAGATTGCCATTTTTTCTTGTGAGGTATCTCTAGGTGGACCTGAGTCACCAACCTTCTGGTTAGCAACCAAGTACTAACAGTGTGTACTAGCAAGGGATTGACTCAACAGCAGCTGATTAATGGATATTGATCATCCACTAGGTGCCAGGCACTCTACCTAGCAGTTTATCTATGGTACCTAATTAATCCTTGTAACATCCCCATTAAATAGGCATTTCTATTCCCATTTTACAGAGAAGTGTGAATCAAAGAGATTAAGTGGTTTGTCCATGGACCAGGATTTTAACAGGTCAATTTCCTTCCACTTGACTTCACTGCCTCCTTCCAGATTCCATAAAACAATTCAAAAACTCAGAAAATCTGAGCTGCCATTCTCCCCATTGTGTCTCAACACCCTACTCACCAATGGCGCCCAGAGTGACAAGAGGGTTCTGCCGAGGGCTGATGTGCTTGTCATAGGGCCGGTTTCCGTACATGTGGGCAGCACTGTTGACCAACCAGGTGACGTTGAGCGAGATGGTATAGCGGAGGATGGAGGCCAAGAAGTAGGAATTCCACAGAGTCTCTCCCCAGATGTACCAGGGCACCAGCGTGGGTATCACAAAGCACATGAGCACCACGCTGATCTTATAGTATCTGTAAGACAGGACATCGTGTCTTATGGTGACAGCAGTGGGAACAGGCTGAATAAGTTACAGGAATAGACCAGAAGTCCAAGGAAGGGGTTGTGCTGATTAGCTCCTGCAACTCTTTCTATATAAGTGATAATTTGCTGTATGCCACTCTGTGCAGTGGTCACAAATCCAAATACCCACAAGGGCAAGGCAGGACAAGTGTCTTAGAAATGCATTGTCCTATAAACCATTCATTTGAGATACTTCCTAGAGATTTACTTCTGTCAACCAGTACTTTTGAATAATTTTCAGGTACATGGTTCCATATTAATTTAGCTTGGTAGAAACAGTAAGTAAACAATATGTTCTTTGTGTATCCAAGATTACATTCTAAACCAGCATAAAAAAATAAACAATAAGAATAGAAACAGATGTGCTCACATACAAAAAGTAATAGTTTAAAAACAGCCCTTTGTGAAATTTCTAAAGTAGACAAGTATATACAAACCTAACTTTGCTAGTGGTTACCAGAGATGAGTGGGTGGGAGAGGGAAAGGGGGACTTAACAGGGTGATGGAAGCATTTGGAAGTGGATAGGGTTGATGGTTGCACAACACGATGAATGAAATTAATGTCATTGAAGTTTACACGTAAAAAGTGTTGAAATGGAAAATTTTTGCTATGCATCATGGAATTTTCCACAAATTTTCTGAAGCCCCTTTGTACATTTCACCCAATTTTAAAAAAGGAAACAACCTCTGTAAACATTGGCTACCCAAAATGGAGCCACCAGGAGCTCTGGTAGCATAGTGGTTATGAGTTGGGTTGCCAACCTCAAGGTCAGCAGTTCAAAACTACCAGCAGTTCTGCGGGAGAAAGATGAGGCATTCTGCTCCTGTAAAGATTTACAGCCTCGGAAACCATATGCAGGGTCACTATGAGTTGGAACTGACTCCATGGTACTTAACAACAACAACCCAAAATGGTGGGGGGCAACAAAGGGATGAAGTGACTGGCTTACAAGTTTCAAAAGGGAGCTTAGTTTCAGAGGGTGCAGGGGAAGGTAGAATCTCCACTGAGTGGTTTCCAACCTGTCTAGATGGGACTGGTGAAAGGAGATAGAGATAAGACTCTTGTGGTTCAACAGTGAATAATTGCTATCAGGACTGATTGTGAAGATTGTAAAGGTAGACGTTTTATAACAAAAGGAAGGGAGTGGTTGATTTTGCAGTCCAGGAGTGGAGGGCCCTGGGATCATTAAGGGAGAAGAGCGGAGTGTAGGAGTGTATACAGAGAAGCAGTGACACCAGAGATGGAGGCAGACACAATGACGTGGAGAGATGGAGTGGTTGGGGACTCTAGAATCAAGGAGGGAGAGGGGCTGTGTGCTGGTGGCCAGGGGGCTGGTATGCAGGGTATACTCTTAGGCTGTTAGTTATATATTCCTGAGTGCTTCGGTATAAATCCAAAACAAAAAACAAAAACAAAATAAAAAACCCAGAGGGAATGGAAGCAAATACCGTTGAACGATGATGACGCATGGAGGGGACTGAAATCATTGCAATGAAACAAAATACGATAGGATGAATGTAAAGCTGATGCTCTCCCTTGTAAACTATCACTCAATTCACAATAAAAACTTATTTTAAAAAAAGCAAAAAGGAAGCAAACCATCAATAGTTCAACTTCTGGGTCTGAATTTCCAGCAAACATTTACTGAGCACCTACGATAAGATGGAGTCCTTGTGTGGAGCAAAAGGTTAAGCAACTTGGCTACTAACTGAAGGATTATTGGAGGCTCAAATCCACACAGAGGCACATCAGAAGAAAGGCCTAGCAACATAACTTTGAAAGATCACAGCCACTGAAACCGCTACAGTTCTATTCTGAAACACATGGGATCACTGAGTTGTAATTGACCCGAAGGCAATGGCTTTTTACTATATTACAGGCCCTGAACTGAGTGCTGGTGCTACAAAGGGGAATTAGACACAGTCAACTGGAATCACTATTCACCACTTTCTTGTTGTGAAAGGCTGACTTGATGCAGGGACAGAAGAGATCTGTGATATGAAGGTATGTGAACTGATCTCCATAGATATGTCTTACCTGGCCTCCTATTGCCTAATTGGACTTTGGAAGGCCTGTGTTAGTATGCATTGTATGAACTGGGAGAGGGCATGGTGTAAGGGTTTGAGATTCAGGATGTGGAAGACTCTGGCTTGATCTGATTGCTGTTGTTGTTAAGTGCCATCGAGTTGTTTCCTACTATAGCGACTCTGTATAGGGTTTCCAAGGTGCAGCTGGTGGGTTTGAACTGCTGACCTTGTGGTTTGAAGTTCAGTGCTGATCTGAATACGCCTCTTTGTAGTCTTTTACTTTTGTCATGTACATCATTTTATGGTTCCCCAAGAAGCAGAGCAAGAGGCAAGGGCTTGTGTGTGAGTAGTTGATTTTGAGACATGATCTTAACAATTGGGGAAGGACAATGGGGAAGGGTGAAACCAGGAAGGAGGGATAGTCTAGCCAGTATGTGTTATTGTGCTATGGGCAACTGAACTTGGGTCCTGATGGGGCACAATATACCTCAGAATTATCCACTGAAGGTGTGGGTTGTTGTTACGTGTCGCTGAGTTAGTTCCAACTCATAGCAACCTTGTATAGGGGTTCTAAGAGTGGCTAGTGGGTTTGAAGTGCTGACCTTGCAGTTAGCAGTTTGGCGCTTATCCTGAAAGGAATTTTTTCCCATTGACTCTGATTCCCCAGTGGTCAATTCTAAGGCAGTGGCCTGGAATGTTAATGAACTCCTTTACATTTTCAGGTTTGTATGAATGACTGAGTGGGTTCCATGGGCATGGCAAGCAGTTGGCAAAAAAGCCCGAACAGGAAGTAAGAGACTGAGCAAAGCACTGCTGGGTTACACCTGCTCCAGCAGGTGACTGCACCATGGGGAGTGACCAGATTGGCCGAGAGGATGTAAGGTGGGGCATGCGAAGTATCCCACACAGAGATATTGTGAGCATCAAATACAAAAAGTTAGCATATACTACATACTTGAAGTACTTGGGTGTTGCAAACAATAGATATGTTCTGTTGTTAACCAAAAGGTTGGCGGTCCATGTCTACCCAGAAGTACCTCGGAAAAAAGGCCTGGTGATCTACTTCCAAAAAATCAGCCATTGAAAACCTTCTGAAGCATAGTTCTAGTCTGACACACATGAGGTCATCATGAGTCCAAAGTCTGAATCAACTCGATGGCAACTTTTGTTTTGTTTCGTTTTTTTAACTATGCAGTTACTATAAGAGCCAAGAGTATTCTGAGATCTTCAAATATACTGACTCACTTCATTCTAACAATTGTTGTTAAGTGCCTTTGAGTGGGCTTCGAATCACAGTGACCCTGTACAAAGTTTCCAAGGAGCAGCTGGCAAGTTTGAACTGTGATTCAAATCCACTTTATCATCCAGTGCTTATCCTACAGTGCCACACAATAACTCTATGGGAAAGCAAAGCAAAGCAAAACAAAAAACCCACTGCCAATTCCAACTCATAGCAACCTTAGAGGACACAAGAGAACTGACTCATAGGGTTTCCAAGGTTGTAAACCTTTATGGAAGCAGACTACCTCATATGTTTCTCATCAAGCTGCTAGTGGGTTTGAACCACTAACCTTGAGCATCTTACTCCATTGTGCCACCAGGGTTCCTAACGACTACGTTACCAGAGCTCCTTATAACTCTTAAGTTGTTGTTGTTGTCAGGTGCCATCGAGTCGGAACCGACTCATAGCG